AGGGAGAAGTAGAGGAAAAAAAGGATTTTCAAGGGAGAGAGTAAGAGGGAAAAAAAGATTTTCAAGGAGAAAGTAAGAGGAAAAAAAGGATTTTCAAGGGAGAAGTAAAGAGGGAAAAAGGATTTTCAAGGGAGAAGTAAGAGGAAAAAAAGGATTTCAAGGAGAGAGTAAGAGGGAAAAAAAGGTTTTCAAGGGAGAAAGTAGAGGGAAAAAAAGGATTTTCAAGGGAGAAAGTAGAGGGAAAAAGGATTTTCAAGGAGAGAGTAGAGGGAAAAAAGATTTTCAAGGGAGAAAGTAAGAGGAAAAAAAGGATTTTCAAGGGAGAAGTAGAGGGAAAAAAGATTTTCAAGGGAGAAAGTAAGAGGGAAAAAAAGGATTTTCAAGGGAGAAAGTAAGAGGGAAAAAAAGGATTTTCAAGGGAGAGAGTAAGAGGGAAAAAAAGGATTTTCAAGGGAGAAAGTAAGAGGGAAAAAAGGATTTCAAGGGGAGAGAGTAAGAGGGAAAAAAAAGATTTTCAAGGGAGAAGTAAGAGGGAAAAAGGATTTCAAGGAGAGAGTAAAGAGGGAAAAAAAGGATTTTCAAGGGAGAAAGTAAGAGGGAAAAAAAGGATTTTCAAGGGAGAGAGTAAGAGGGAAAAAAGGATTTCAAGGGAGAGAGTAAGAGGGAAAAAAAGGATTTTCAAGGAGAAGTAAGAGGGAAAAAAAGATTTTCAAGGGAGAAAGTAAGAGGGAAAAAAAGGATTTTCAAGGGAGAGAGTAAGAGGGAAAAAAAGGATTTTCAAGGGAGAAAGTAAGAGGGAAAAAAAGGATTTTCAAGGGAGAAAGTAAGAGGGAAAAAAGGATTTTCAAGGGAGAAAGTAAGAGGGAAAAAAAGAATTTTCAAGGGAGAAAGTAAGAGGGAAAAAAAGGATTTTCAAGGGAAGAGTAAGAGGGAAAAAAAAGATTTTCAAGGGAGAAAGTAAGAGGGAAAAAAGATTTCAAGGGAGAAAGTAAGAGGGAAAAGATTTTCAAGGGAGAAGTAAGAGGGAAAAAAAGGATTTTCAAGGGAGAAAAGTAAGAGGGAAAAAAAGGATTTTTCAAGGGGAGTAGAGGGAAAAAAAAGGGGAGAAAGTAAGAGGGAAAAAAAGGATTTTCAAGGGAGAAAGTAAGAGGGAAAAAAAGATTTTCAAGAAAGTAAGAGGGAAAAAAAAGATTTTCAAGGGAGAAAGTAAGGGAGGGTAAGAGGGAAAAAAAGGATTTTCAAGGGAGAAAGTAAGAGGGAAAAAAAGGATTTTCAAGGGAGAGAGTAAGAGGGAAAAAAAAAGATTTTCAAGGGAGAAAGTAAGAGGGAAAAAAAGGATTTTCAAGGGAGAGAGTAAGGATTTTCAAGGGAGAAAGAGGGAAAAGGATTTTCAAGGGAGAAGTAAGAGGGAAAAAGGATTTTCAAGGGAGAGAGTAAGAGGGAAAAAAAGATTTTCAAGGGAGAAAGTAAGAGGGAAAAAAAGGATTTTCAAGGGAGAGAGTAAGAGGGAAAAAAAAGATTTTCAAGGGAGAAGTAAGAGGGAAAAAAGGATTTTCAAGGGAGAAAGTAAGAGGGAAAAAAAGATTTCAAGGAGAGAGTAAGAGGGAAAAAAAGGATTTTTTTTTCAAGGGAGAAAGTAAGAGGGAAAAAAGGATTTTAAGAGGGAAAAAAAAGGATTTTCAAGGGAGAGAGTAAGAGGGAAAAAAAAGATTTTCAAGGGAGAAAGTAAGAGGGAAAAAAGGATTTTCAAGGGATAAGAGAAAAAAAGGATTTTCAAGGAGAGAGTAAGAAAAAGGATTTTCAAGGGAGAAAAGTAAGAGGGAAAAAAAGATTTTCAAGGGAGAAAGTAAGAGGGAAAAAAGGATTTCAAGGGAGAGAGTAAGAGGAAAAAAAGGATTTTTAAGGAGAGTAAGGGTGAAAAAAAGGGAGAAAGTAAGAGGGAAAAAAAGATTTTCAAGGAGAAGTAAGAGGGAAAAAAAGGATTTTCAAGGGAGAGAGTAAGAGGGAAAAAAAAGGATTTTCAAGGGAGAAAGTAAGAGGGAAAAAAAGGATTTTCAAGGGAGAGAGTAAGAGGGAAAAAGGATTTTCAATGGAGAAGAGTAAGAGGGAAAAAAAGGATTTTCAAGGAGAGAGTAAGAGGGAAAAAAAGGATTTTTCAAGGGAGAGAGTAAGAGGGAAAAAAAGATTTTCAAGGCAAGGGAGAGAGTAAGAGGGAAAAAAAAGATTTTCAAGGGAGAAAGTAAGAGGGAAAAAAAGGATTTTCAAGGGAGAGAGTAAGAAGGGTGAAAAACGGATTAGTTTATTGACGGAAATCAATGTATTTCACTGCAAAGGGTATGTAGTAGGTGAATTAAATTGTTTTTCATTCAGACGAGTGAAATTAGACAAAAATACACATACTAGTACCTTTTTCATTTGGTAACTATTCTGAACTTTGTCGCTTACAAATTGACAACTGTTTGGCGTAAAAAAAAAAAAAAAAAAAAAAAAAAAAAAAAAA